CCCCCCCCGGTGAGACAGCGGTAAATCTACGGACTTACAACGCTAAAATCCGGGGTTGATTCCTCGGGGGCGGATACAGCACTGTGACTTTATTCTAGAACAAACAAACACACACATATTTCCTTCGTGATATATGTTTAATATGTGTAAGTTTCTTAAATTGTAGATCGACGAATTTTGTGTACAAATTTCTTAAGCTGCATATAGACGAATTTTGTCGATATTCCTACTTTTAAATAGGCAGAAATTTGCCTTTTATTTTATCGGCCTGTATCTGCTGTCATCTTTAATTTAGTACATTTCAAGATAGTTTGAGTATATTACATTGTTCTTGATTCGGAAGTGTCTTGACTTTACATCTTGTGTTTTAGTGTTTCAAGGTTGACCAGACATAACTTACAAACACCATAAGGTCCAAATAAAAAATTTTTATGTAACTGTGTTATTTTAGTGTAATTCCTCTTCAACATCTCTGTTTCCAATATTTGGATGTTTAAGCTCTAGAGCTGAAAAAGTCCCTAAGTAATTCCATTAAATTGAATTATTAAAAGCTAAGAAACTCAGTTATTGCAGTATGTATTGAAAGTATCCAAACTTCTTCTAGAAACCGGCAGATCTTGGCGACGTTATGTTCTCACTGAGTTACTTACCGACAGCAGAGAGACTTACCGTTGTAATTGTCAAAGCTCGAAACTTGAAGTTCTCAAATGCCCAGGAAACCGGATGTGAGTATTTGAATATAGAATTAGAAGTACGTATTATATTCTGAGATACTACTGCCACGAACGTTCTGTTTTGTTAAAAGAAACGTTATTTCTACCAGTTAACTGATCAATTACGAAAAAAAGAGCATTACTCTTACACCATTGCCCCCTTCCCCCGGTGAGACAGCGGTAAATCTACGGACTTACAACGCTAAAATCCGGGATACAGCACTGTGACTTTGTTCTAGAACAAACAAACACACACATTTCCTTCGTGATCATAGTTTGTAATATTTCAACGGAAATCAACAAAAATTGACTTAATATTGTTTCAAACTTCCTTATTCAATCAACAGTTCTACCGATTATTATACTTGAGATAAAATACAGTGACTTTCAAATGTTGTATTTTTATTATATCATACATACCTTAAACCACACCAGCTATAGAAGGTAGTAGACAAAAAATATTTGAAATTATATTTCTACCTGTCAAAAGAAAAACAAACCTGCCCGTAATTTTGGCATGCCCCCTAGTGGCACAGCGGTATGTCTGCGGACTTACAACGCTAGAAACCGGGATTCGATACCCGTGATGGACAGAGCACAGATAGCCCATTGTGTAGCTTTGTGCTTAACTTCAAACAAACAAACAATCTCGAGATCTCTCAGAATTTATATTTTTTTAGTAAGAACCCAAATAGAGTAAATATGAACGTTCATGTCCAAATTCATGAAATCCTCAAACCAGGAATGCTAGTAAAAGTGAATAGGGAAAACTGATAAAGAGGGTACGTCCTGTGGTATGTGGACTTGATCAGGGAGTGGTCCAAAAAATAAATCATAGAAGTTATACTAACGTTTAACAATAAAATTCAAGAAAAATCATCACAAATAAAATCATATAACAAAAATAAAAATATTAATTGTAAGAACAAGAGGTTAATAATGGTACGAAAAGTTTGAAGCTAAGAGATAAGTAGTGTAGTTTTGAATAAACTAAATGTAAAAAGAGAGAGAAGAAGTTAAAATAGAGGAATTTAAGAAACTGGAGGCTATGACGGAAATTTTGGAGTCTAGTATGATCATTGTGGTACACCACTACAGCCCCTTGAGTTCCTCAGCTCAAGGACGTGCTTATGCTGTTAGAAAAGCTAATGTTGCCAAGACAACCGTTGAACCAAAGTGTACCTATACGCTCTCCGTAACGCGTCATTAAAGTTTTGTTCTGAGCAATTTTCGTGTTATATACAAATTACTTTTACAACATTGGAATCTTGGGCTGTAAATCAAACTACCATTTGAATAATAGTAATATTCACTTATACTGGGTTTTTGTAGCGCCTAAATAAAGTTGTTAGGATTATGTTTTTCATTTTATATGAACAACTAATTAAAAAAAACAAACTTGGCCACTGAGTTAAAATATACATGAGGTTAATTTTACTCTTTTTTTGTATAATTTTTTATGCATCTGTTTAATCTAATTTAAGCGTTGATTATCCATTTTTATAGCTCCATTTGTGAAAGTGTACCTCCTTCAGAACGGTAAGAAAATCAGCAAGAAGAAGACATCCATCAAGAAAGACGACAAAAATCCCATTTTTAACGAAGCCATGATCTTCTCCGTTCCAACTAATGCTTTGCAGGTAAGCTTCCATTCGTAAATCTCGTTCAGTTATCAAAATAAAGGGGCAGAAATGCTTCTTGTCATTGTACGTATTTTTATCATCCATTCCTCCACTCAGAAAAGTGAAGGCACGTAAATGGATTTCTTTTCATCAAATGATTCATGTTTTTACTGGAATAGGAATTACTAGTTCCGCCCACCTTGGCAAAGCAGGAGAACAAAAGTCTCATTCCAGTCTCCATTATACTCACTTAGTCATTTTGGTTATTAATATGAATAAAATATAACTTTGAAGAGAACTCTCATATTTTAATCATAATAATTTATTATAGTATTTAAAAATTAGAAAAATAATTTTCATAAAAAATAGAGAGAAAATGTATATTGTTATGCTCATATTTTTCTTATATATAATTCAAAATATCACTAGATCAGATTAAACATCTTATATACAAATTTTCTTGACAAATTTTCTTGATTTATTAACTAACAACCTTGATACATTGTACTGAATTTTCAAAAGTATTAACGTGATTGATTTGTGTCACTTATATGTTTTCAGCTGCTTTATGAATAGGTGTAACTCATTTGTTTTAGATTTTGGAGATTTGTTAATATACATATATTCAATTTACCAGCATAATTAATTGGATTAAAAGGAAACTTAACTGATAGCATAATATATTTAAATGCTTCTAAGTACAAATAATTGATCTATTTTAACCACTGACATATTTTGACAGAATTGACGGATTTACGAGCTTAAATATCATATTCAATAACAACGTTGCGAATAATGTTTTGGTAATTTTTAAGAATCAGATTAATATGTACAATAAGTTTGTTCTGTTAAATTTTGTAATAAATTTCGAAAAATGTGGTTTCGAAACATATCAAAATAGTCGTGAAGGCCTCATGGCACATTTTTGTTTTCTTCGTTTTGAAATTCAGTATAAAAAATATTTACTGATTTTTATAACATAAGGTTATTTACTAAATCTAAACTACTCTTAAATGTCCAAAACATTTTATATTTATATGATAATTGATTTTTTTAAGTACTGAACTTTAAAAATAATCATAATCTGTATAATACTGGCGAGTTCTGAAATCTATACATAGTGTGCTTTATAAAGATCCAAATCCAGTTCCCCCCCCCCAAAAAAAAACAATGAAACTTCAATCAAAACAAATTAATTTATGATTTTTTTTTCAAATGAGTCGTTAATTGTGTCCTTAACTTTGTGCTTTAATAAAGAAACATTTAGAGCACTATGAAAAAACAAAACGTAGTCCATTTGAAAAACTATTTCATATTTACACCATTCTGTTTCTTCACTTTTGTAATATCTTTGTGATAAATGTTTCATTAATGCAACAAATGTTTAACTATTCACAAACTTCCAAAAATGTAACAACTGAAATTTGAAAGTTTCATAGCGAAGTTTTAATCAACAAACTTTTAAGATAACTTTGACCACATTTAATATTTGTATATGCGAAATTTATTTCTTTTTATTATATTTGATGTTAAATTTAATAACATTACAGCAGAATATCCAACTTCGAATAACGGTAGCTGATTATCGTGTTGATGGTAAAGCGCCTTCCTTAGGACATGTTTTCGTTGGCTCCCAGTGCCGAGGAAAGTCATTGTCCCATTGGAATCAGATGATGTCTTCCCTTCGAAAACCAATCGCAATGTGGCATACCTTACGAAAATGAAACTGAATGAGAACAAGATTCTAAGAAAACAAAACTACCACGAAACATGGTCTTTTTCTTCAGTGATAGTTTGGTTTCTCCTTTTCTATGGCGAATAAAAAGACTATCGTAAGCCCTTCTTCATACAAAAAACATGTTGCATCTGTTGCACACGAATAAATTGGTATACCACACGTAATTTTCTTTTTATCGTTAAATTACAAGTGAAACTCTTCTAGCTCATTTACGTAACTGATTAATTCTAACTTGCACGACAGGATCGTTACAAGACACAGGAGGTTATATATGTTAACTTCCAACAAACAAGTATAGGTCTGTGTGGCTTTGCAATTTGCAAAAGTTAAACATTTTGTGTAGCATTAAAGGTAACAATAATAGTTTGTGTTTTATAATTGGTATATAAAGTAATTACCAAACTTTAGGATGATATAATATATATATGTAAACAAAAATTATTATTTCTGACTCTCTGAACTATTTCTTGTATTTATACTCCCAATAATGAGTAGGATAAAATATAGTTAAAAATGGATATTTATCAAATTATTGTTATCTTGTTTTATTTACATTATAATATGCTTTAGAAATTTTAATCTTTGTTCAACTTGAAATTCTGTCACAATATCATAGAATAACTAGAAATAGAGCTTTTTGCACCTTATAGCAACAGCTAATTGACAGTAAATACTTTATAAAAAAAGCGTTATTGACAAAATTATACATTAGTGTAAGTAAGGACTTTCCTAATTTATTTCAAATCACCGAATTTTCCTCAACCGGCAAAAATTACGTTTCTAACGGCCAATGTTAAACTATATAAACAATTATTCGGAAGTACACCACAAAAAATCCATAAACATAATGTGAAAGCCAAATATCACTCCATTCATATTTAATCATAAGCTGAATTTTATTTTATCAATCAATTTATATTTCGTAAGTAATTAGATGGCTATTTTTCTTTAAATACTGGCTAAGAAGTGTGCTTGAAGCACTGCTTGTATTCATGTTCCGTTTTGTATTTGTAAACACGTAACATTTCCTTCCATAGCATCAATATTACAGAGTTCTCATTTTGACTAGTACATCCTTGTGTTCAAAAATTCCTAAAACTCTGTATTATTTATGTACCTCATCAGCTTTAGAATTTTAATATGTTTGTTTTTGTATTTTCAATGAAGGTTTTGAGTAGCAGAAGGTAACATTTTAATTTGTTTAAAATTGAAATTAAATATTTTGAAGCATTGGAAGCAAATTATTTTTATCATTCCTAACAAATGGTTTAAGCTCTTGCTCCAGTATTGTTTTCTAAAACATCATGGCTTGATTTTATTACTTTTGTTTTTGTCAAAGCTAATTTTCAACTGTAAGGCCAAAAGGCTGTAAATGAAATGTTTTTGTGCATTTATGTTTATGTGTCGTAAGTTAACCGTTTTTATGATAAAAAAAGCCTTAAATATGCTCATAATTTTTATATGTATGCTGTTTCTGAAACTTTTCAGAACTGTTTGTGAAAGACGGTGCGAACGTATTCTTTAACTGGATAATTTAATATCACAGAAAGATACTTATCATTGATTTATCTATTTTTTTGATTGAAATAATATTTTAAGTACAAACTCAAAATTCTTGTTCATCAGGCCCTTCGATAACTCAGCGGTAAGTCTGAGGGCTTATGACGCTAAGAATCGGGTTTCTATACCCGCGGTGGGCAGTATACAGACATCCCGTTGTATAGGCTTGTGCTTTAATAACAAACCTCTTCATCACAACAATTGTGAAAAGAGCAACATTTAGTTCGTTGAAAATGTTGTATTCTGTAAATCTGTGATTAAACCATCGACATTTGTTGAATAAGTGGTGATGACATATCGTTAGTAATCGATGTAGTGCTTATTGTCTTATTACTTAGCACGATGTTCAGTAACTAATCTGGACAAGTTGTGTCTTGTGATATGGTATATATATATATATATATACATATATATATACCGAAAAATGTATAGTTAACATCATTCATGACACTATTAAATCACGTAATGTCAAAAATTAGGTGAATTACAAAATATAACACCCAATAACCTGAGCGCTTTCAGAAGGATATATATCTACCTGCCTCCCAGTGGCACAGCGGTATGTCTGCAGACTAACAACGCTAGAATCCGGGTTTCGATACCCGTGGTGGGCAGAGGACAGATAGCCCATTGTGTAGCTTTGTGCTTAATTACAAACAAACTATCTATCTACCTTTTGAAAGTAACACGGTAATCGGGGTTCTTATTTTGTTTGTAACGTCATTATAAGTACATGTAACATGTTACGTCTAATTAATGTGATTGTTATTCTCTCTTGTTAACTGTGACAAAATGGTTTTGAAATGTAAAAAACATGATTTGGCATTATTTATAATTCTTATTTATTTATTTTTTTGTCTAAACTATTTAATTGTCAAATAACTATTTAGTGTTCATTTATAATTTTAACATATTGTTAGATACTAATAAGTAGCCTTCTAATTTTCATCTTTTTTCGAGCACTTAAAATTATGTTAGTTTTAATTTAAGTGGTGATTTATTTTTAATTTTTAGTTTAAAACTATTCTATTGAAAAAAAAGGTTTTTTGAGATAAACGTAAAATTACAGCACTGATTTAGTGACGACAATAGAAAAACGGTTACTTGTGTAATATCTTGTTATATCGATTTAGAATATTTATGTTGTGCCACTAAGAAAAATTCATCGTATTTTAATTTTTTTTTAACTTTTCACTAAACAATTGCATACTGTTCAACTTGTGAGGTTGTTAGGAGATAGAGTACAATTCATTTTCAGAAATGTCTGTAACATTGTAACAATGTCTGTAACAATGTAAAAATGTAACAATGTCTGTAACATTGTATGCTAACCCGACTGAACTGCATACATTCCAGAACATTGTTTGTCTTAAAATTTTTAGATAAAGAATTAAATCAAAATAAAAACAAAATGTGGTTTAGAGAATTAGATATTGTGGCAAAGATTATGAACACACTAAATTAAACTACAGATAAATGGACAATTATCTAGTGAATATGTTAATACCTGTTGATATGTATGTGGGTATATATCTATATATATGTACTGTATGGCCAGTTTTTCATCATTAGATAAAATATTTGTAATATATCCGGGTTTTTTTCTGAGCCACTTCACTGTGATGGATTTGACACGTAATGGTCTATTTGCGTGACTTGCATATTCGTTTATTTTTGCCACTCTAATTAACTTATTTGTTGAATCAAGGATAGTTTGGTTTTTATTCAATTTGTCAAGACTTTTGATACTTCTTTAGACATGGGAAAATGTATGCTCGTTTGGCTCGGTTTTATTGACTGCTGGTGACGAAAACAAAGTACACTTTGAAAAACAACACTGTAGCTACAATAGAGAGACAAAAACAGAGTTTTATATAAACAGACCCCTACCCCGACAAATATAATATTTACCCGCCCTAACATCTCAACACTTTCCTTATAGTGCAACAACATGTGTTGAGATGAAATAACAAGGTTGCCTTGTATCAAGTGAGGTGGTTATCAAGTAACCGAAACTACAGTCAAAACCTTTAGTAAGAAAGGTAAACTTATAGTGCAACAACATGTGTTGAGATGAAATAACAAGGTTGCCTTGTATCAAGTGAGGTGGTTATCAAGTAACCGAAACTACAGTCAAAACCTTTAGTAAAAAAGGTAAAATTATAGTGCAACAACATGTGTTGAGATGAAATAACAAGGTTGCCTTGTATCAAGTGAGGTGGTTATCAAGTAACCGAAACTACAGTCAAAACTTTCACTACAAAAGGTGATGGTGTAATGCAACACGCGTTAAGATATAATAACAAGTATCAAGTGAGGTGGTTTTAGATATCAAGTAACGGAAACTACAGTCAAAATCTTTAGTAAGAATGCAACATGTATTGAGATGTAATAGCAAGGCTACCTTGCATCAAGTGAGGTGGTTTTAGATATCAAGTAATGGCAAGTACAGTCAAAATCTTTAGTATTTTACCTTTCTTACTAAAGGTTTTGACTGTAGTTTCCGTTACTTGATAACCAACTCACTTGATTTCAGGTAATCTTGTTATTACATCTCAATACAGAATAATAAAGCAGAAACCACAAAAATGGTTGAAACTTTCTTCACACTAAGGTAACTATAGGACGTCAGTTTTAAAGTTTGTGTTGTTCCTCATTATTTATTATTTATCCAATTTACTTTAGTGTTTGCTTATCCTAGCATTCAAACGTATTCATATGGTGTTTTAAATGTATTTCGTAACTGAACATTTGTTAACTTCTGTAAGTACTTATTTAAAGCTTATATTTAAATACAATACAAAAAACACGTCTTTTAAACAAGCATAAATTTGGTGTTATGGTAAGCAAGTTTTTTTAACAAATATAGACTGAGCTCAAAAAGTAACTGTTGTCCTGCTAGTGATGCAGAGATCTTTGTCTGAATGGCTGTTACATACCAAAGCTGGTCTCTTTATTTTTTAACAAGTGTTTGGATAATTGATTGTAAATAAAATGATCAGGAAAGAAGTGTTTGCCATCCAGCAACAGCATGGTTAACAGAAACATTTCAGTGCTGACAACTGATAGAGTCCGGACATTGCTATTACTCTGTATTATAGAGATTTCTATTCTAACATCTCAGTCGATGATACAGAGATTTTATGTGTCAATTCTGGTAGATGAAACCACTTTCAATGTAAACTTTAGTTGCTTTTTTAAATGCTGGAATTTTTGTCATAATTTATAACGTATGTTTCTATTGACATTCATGCATTTATTATTACTCAAAAAAACTTGAATAGTAAATGAATGACCCCCTCAGTGGCACAGCGGTATGTCTGCGGACTTACAACGCTAGAAACCGGGTTTCGATACCCGTGGTGGGCAGAGCACAGATAGCCAATTGTGTAGTTTTGTGCTTAACTTCAAACAAACAAAGTAAATGAATGAATACACTTCAAATAACAGACAAAAGTTATTTATTTTAATTCTTGTTGTTTTTCAATAAATTTATCTTACTAAACTATTGTAGTGAAATTTGCCAGGGGGAGATTCTGCGGTATGTTCAGATACCCGAATAGATTCTATTGTATTCGTAAGAAACAATGTGATTACTGTGCGGACTTGCTTCGAAGAAAGGCTAATCAAACAAGCATTGGGAGGAGAGAAAAATAAATTTATTTGAAAGCTCTAATTTCCATTACAGGTTAAAACAACATATAAAAGCCACATTTAATATAAGCCTATTTAACTTCGTCTATAATATAGATATTCATCAACATTCTAACAAAATGTTTTTGTTCAGTAGTAAACATGACATGGGCGTGTATACATATGTAATCTCAACAAATGTATTAGCAATTATTACCTTCCATAAATTGCTTATAATAAAAAATATATTAAAATATACGTCTGATGAGGTTTCATTAC